GACCCTCCTAAGGTCCGTTGGGCTTCTCATTAGCTCCGCCATGGCCCACTCGATGGCTGATGCTACCGTTTCGGTGCCACCAAACATTACGTCCTAAATAAATAAATAAATAAATAAATGGTCTTATTGATTGAAATAAATAAATAGAAAGAGATTATCATCATGAGAAAAGTGGAATTTTAGGTGCCAAAGCCAACATTATTATATTAATTCACTATTTTTTTTTTCTCTTTTGGGGTGGTTGGATTAATTATATCCATTGCAAATGGAGCTGGAAGAGTCATTGCTGACAATTCTCCTAGTATAGTGTTAATAATGATCTAGATCAAAACGACTCAATTAAATTCTAGTGCTTCTTCTGTTAGTGAAGTTTCTAAAAAAATATATCAAACGATGCAACGCACCGTGGGTCACTATGAAAACAATCTCCTTGTATAATTACAACGGTAAAATCTGCGTACAACTGACCCCATAGACTCCAACCGTTGGGAATATACTGAATATGTTGACGGTGATGGGGTAGTTGGATTAATGGTGCACTCTTTAGTCATTACCAGTTAAATCTATTCATGTTGTGTTGGTAATTTAATATGACATTTTAACAACACCTGAAAGTATAAAAATGTGACCAGCGAGCTCTCCCTTTTTTGGTTAACATTTATTATAGTGATGCTAAGATAATTTTGAGGGAAATGCTAGGGTCCGGTACAGTACCATCATGTCGGGTGTTTTAACCGTTGGATCTACATATAGTTAGATAAGGTAGATGATCTAACGTAAAACACCCGACGTGATAGTACCGTAACGCGACCGTAGTATTTCCCTAATTTTGAACTGTTACTTTTATATTTGCATTATAAACTATATATTTTTGTTTAATTTTATAAAAAATACATATTTTTAATTCAAATCAAATACGACTATTTTTGTTACTCAATCTGATAACAATTTTGCATATGATATGTATAAAGATGGAGTTTTTTTCCGAGAGATTCATATTATGAGTTATTTTGGCTATTAGTCGATCGGGCAGTTTTGCTATGGATCCATCAGGAGTCATCCAAACTTATTCACCAATAGTGTATTAACAAGTGTCCTTCAATAAATACAATCTGAACAGTTGTCAATATATTAAGTAATAAATGGATCAATAAGAAAAATATCAATAGAATTGAATGTTTGATTAGGCGGGTTGGTGTAAGGACAAATCAACTTTTACTTATATTACTATTTAATCTTTTTTTTTTAACATGATTTCTAAATAAATATCCATATTAAATACGTTGATACGAAATTAAAAACAAAATTGATGTTATTCATCACCTAACCATTTTTTTAGCTATTAATGATCCATTACCTAACAAAATTGACATTAATTAAAAATATCATTCTAAAAATTCACCCTAATGAACACCTTTTCAAAACTTATTAAATTAAAATTTACTTTAGTTGAATGAATTATTATAAAATTGACTTAAATAAAAGACTTAGTATTCCATAAAGATCCATCGTATATATATTATATAGTGGTAGAGTCCACGTAGACCACAAATACGGAATAAAATGATGGGACTTCTGAATATAACGTGCACTACGACTAACCATTAACACACAATACAGATATTGTTGCAATTTTTTTTTTTTTTTTTGGTACAAGGACCTTCCGGTTTCCGAATCCACAGGGGAACCGACTAATCCGGAATCGAGTTGCAACTTTTTGATTTCAAATAACACACATAAACACATTGCTTTATTATTATTATTATTATTATTATTATTATTATTATTATTATTATTATTATTATTATTATTATTATTATTATTATTATTATTATTCTATTATTATAATATTATTATTATTATTATTATTATTATTATTATTATTATTATTATTATTATTATTATTATTATTATTATTATTATTATTATTATTATTATTTTCTATAGGTCTTACATAGTCAAATTGTACTATATCTACCTAATCGTATTTCGATTTGTTCAATGTCTGAAATTCTCGTATAGCTAAAAGCTTAAATGATATTTTTATAATAAAAATTTAAGACCAAATCTGTTAAAATATTTAAAAATTGTACTTCCACCCTTATATACTTTATTTTAATATGTTTGCAGTCTTATTAGATTTTTAACCAATTTTAATATTAATTAAAGTTGACTTTGTACATTATTTATATTTTTTAATAATAAACTCAATTAATATTTATTAAAACTGAAAAAAAGTACACCGTAGGTATTTCGTAACAATGGGTTGTCCGAATACGTAAAATACTAATTTATTATAAAGTGAGTTAAGTCTCATTACGGAAACGTTCCGTCGAGGGTTTGTAACCGTTAAATAATCATGTAACCGTAATGGATAATTAATCTAACGATTACAAACTCCAACAAAATGGTTCCGTAACGCACCTTATCATTTCCCCCCATATTAAATTTATCAAATAAACCACACACACATATATAGCTTGGACTTTGGCTTACCATAATAATAGCTTTGATGTTATCCCTCGTGAGCTTGATCGAGCTTTGCAAATCCGCACCTTCTGAAACATTTGCCACGTCATCACCTCCATAAAACGCCAACAGCTCGTCCACCATGTCAGAATCACCGGTGGGCCCGGCCCGGCCCAGTCCATTCTTCCTCCTCTCAATATGAACATCAATGATCGTGTCTATAAACCGGTCCAGCGAGTCCCGGGCCCTCACCAGCCTCTTGTTCAGCCCTTGCAGGTCCATGCGGTCCACCCACGGCACGAAATCCGCTACATTGAAAGCCCCGAAAAGCTTCGAGAATTCCTGAAGGATCGCGATGAAATCGTCCTGCCCGTCACCCGAGCTCGACCCGAACGCGGCCCGGTATATAATATTCCTAGTAAGCCCGAAAACGAGCTCGCCTATGTTAACGGGCCTGCCGGCGCTGCCCCCCACGGCCCGTACCATGCGGTCCACCTCGTCCCGGACCGAATCCCATGACTCGGCCCGCTTGCGGCTGAAGAGCTTCATGACGCAGAGCTTGCGCATCTGGCGCCAGAAGGGGCCGTAGTGGGCGAAGGCCATGTCGGCCCGGTTGTAGGTTAGGTAGCTTATGGCGATGTTGGCGGGCCGGTTGGAGAAGATGTTGTCGTGGGCCTGGAGGACTTGGCGGGCCGCGTCCGGGCTTTGTATGGCGACCACGTGGAGGAAGCCCATGCGGAGGTGGAGGATGCCGCCGTATTGCTTGGCGAGCTTGGCGAGGCCTCGGTGGGTGAGTTGGTCCATCATGGTAATGTTGCCGATCACGGGCCAGCCCTTGGGCCCGGGCGGATAGGGTTTGCGGTGGAATCTTGATAGGGCTAAGAAGAATAGGATAGGGATTGTGAAGAGGATTAGGAGTGGTTTGGCCTCTAGAGCTTGGAATATGGCTGCCATTTGTTTTTCCATTGTTTGGTTTTTGCACTAGTGGTTTGTGTAAGTGTTTGCACAAAAATTGGGATTTTATTTTTTTATTTTTTTTTTATTTTTTTTTCATGGGGTTGTATGGGGGACTTTAAATAAGAGTTTGCGGGCTGTGGTAAAAAGTTTGGTTTTGAATTTCACATTGCATTTTCAATCATTGATATTGACACATGTTGTGAAGTCTTGGTATTTCAAGAAAAATATATTACTTAATGTATATGAGTAAGAATTGAATATTTCAGCTTTGAAGGATGATTTTGTGGACAAGATTATTGATTGAACACATAAATTAAACTCGATAGTATATATATACACATATACATAAATGTTACGTTTTATTGGTTTAAAATTATGTAGGCCAAAATTCAAAATTGGTCGTATAATTTGGTCAAATTTCATAACCGCCATGGGCGGGAGCCATCCTTGGACAAAGGTGGACTCTAGCCCCCATGTAATTTTTATTCTTCTTTAGTTTAGTATTATTTATTTTATTTGTAGCACCATTTAAATATTGGTCTAGCCCAATTTAGCTTATATGCTTTTAGGAAGAAACCCAATAATTTATTAATTTTCATTTCAAAAGTAGAAGAGGTTTGAGCATCTTTATTAAAAAAAGACACAAATTATTGCTTATTCTAATTTTATTTTACAAATTTTTAAAAAGATTGTTAATTAATGTTTGTTTTAATAGTGATATTTCTTACGTTATGTAATGATCAAGAGCTAATAGGAATTGATTTGTAATGAAAAATTTAAAAATATACATAGTTTGCACACAACTTATCTACAATTATATTAAAAGAATAACCTTTTTTGAGGTTTCCCCCATATTTACCCGCCAATTGCATTAAAAGAGTCCTAAAAGATAGTAATTATCCAACAATTATGAATATGGAACTAACTCGGCTTATTTATTGGAAACATATTTATTATTGTCTTTCCTAAAAGATAGTAATTGTCTAACATTTCATAATAGGGAACTAAATGGGCTGATTTATTGGAATCAAATTTATTAAAAAAGTAGGCTGATTTTAAAAAAAAAAATTAAAAAATCTCATCTCATGTATATACTCTAACATATTTTTTAAAAAATTATCGTAACGGATTTTTTTTTTCTTAAAAAATTAATTCACTCTAAAGTGTAATTGCTAATATAAATCTTGACATACTGTCAGAATTTTTTTAAAAAGTTAATTTTCTTCTATCTAAATACTAATATTTTTTCAAATATTATTAACATTTATAATATTGGAGATATTTCAAACATTATTTGGACAAAGATTAAGGAGCTATATATATGGAGGTTAAATTTAAGTATTTTTAGACATGTTTTCTTTAAAAAATAATTTAGAGAGTAGCTTCAACATTTTTCAAGGATAATATAAAATATTTTATATACTTTTTATACATGTAATATCATATTTTAGATGTCTTTAATATAATGCTAGATATATAACGAGAATAAGATTTATCACATATTTCTCATCCAAAAATATTAAATACACATAATAAAAAGTTAAAAGTTAGGAATGGTTTGAGCACTAAAATTTCAGACTTCAACTGGGTTCCTGGGCTGAATAAACCTACTCCATCTCTTATCCCAATTGCCAGAGATCATTTGATTTGGGTTAAAGATCTTCTTCACAGCAATGGTTCTCAATGGAATGAATGGCTTATTAAGCAAGTTTTTGATGAATCTGACAGCTCTGCCATCTTGAAAATCTCAACTGTGAATCCTCTTAGACAAGACATGCTCTACTGGGGAGTTGATAAGAAAGGTACTTTTTCTGTATCCAGTACCTATGCTCATCTTTGTTCTCTAAAGATTAGGCAATCTGATGTTCCTGAAAGCAGCTCTTCAATGACCACAAAAAAATCCATCAAATTTAGGCATTGGAAGTTAAAAGTTGCTGGAAAAATCAAGATCTTTGTCTGGAAATGTCTATCTGGTATCCTTCTTGTTGCTGTCAACCTTATGAAAAGAGGTTTTGAATTAGACTCAACATGTTCTTCTTGTGGAGCTGCAGTTGAAACCTTGGAACACATCCTGTTCTTATGTCCCAGAGCTATTAAGGTGTGGAAATTAAGCCCTGTCCAATGGGATGGAATTTCAAACTTCACTGACTCTTTCAAACACTGGTGGTATCAAGTTTGTTCCTTAGATCACTCCGAAGTTGCCGAAGCAAGAATCCAGCTCACCACTTACATTCTTTGGTGGCTTTGGAAATCGAGGAACTTATGGATTTTCCAACACTCTCTCATCCCGGAGCACTCTACTCTCAGGCTTGCGCATTCTGACTGGTTGGACTTCTCTAATGCTTCTTCTGGCTAGCCTTTGTTGGTTTTTTCTGTTCTTTTTTTCTTTCTTTCGAGGGAAGTCCTCTTTGCTAGGCTTTGTAGCAGTGGCGAGAGTCTTTGCCTGGCTTGTTTTCTCCTGTTTCGGTTGTTGTTTGTTTTCTGTTTGTTGAGGCTTTAGACCGCGTGTGGCGCTCAGTTTTTATTTTCGATTTGGATTAGTCCTTTGTATTCGAACTCGGTTCGCTTGAGATTTATATAGTTATTTCTGTCGTTTTGGGAAAAGAAAAAAAAAAGTTAAAAGTAAAAAATGAAGATTTAAATATTGTCTTCAATTTTTGTTATATTTTACATTAACCTCAATCTGTATTTGTAAAATTTAAAACGTGGAATAGTTATGCGTACAAAATTTCTTTTTAATGGTAACAACTTATAAAAAAATAATAAGAAATACAGTCATAATTCTCGATATCATGTCATTATTTATTTTTTATATAATTTATTTAGACTTATGATATTTTAGATACTTTTATATAATATTTTATCATGTCATATTATATCTATGTACATACACATATATATATATATATATATACATATTAAATTTAAATATTTTTAAACATGTTTTCTTTACAACGGAATTTAGAAAACATCTTTCATACAAATGTAAAATTCAAATGTTTTTAAACATGTTTTCTTTCCAAAATAGTTTAAAAGAATTGTAAGTGACTTCACATCTTTTAATAATAATACATAAACCAGTACATACTTTTATATGTTTTTAATATTTTAAACATGCAAACTTTATGTTCTCTTACACAAGTTAATTTTATATTGTTGATACTAAACTGATATACGACGGTAATTTTTTTGCTCTTTTAAAATAGAACAATGGTTTCCCACCACTCAAACTCGAGACCTATTTATAATTATTATTTAATAATATTTACCTGTGCATCGCACGGGGCTACGCACTAGTTTGATGAAAGCACAACTATACATTTGAGATAATAAAATTTAAATTTGTATAGGCTAAAATTTGCATATTTGGACATGATATAAAATTTGCAAATTTGTATAGGCTAAAATTTGCATATTTAAATATATATACTTTCTTTATCGTTCAACATGTTGTGTTTCTTCTTATTGTTTTCTTTTTTATTTTAGTTTAATCATATTGAATTATATTATTTCAAATAATATTGGTTATTCATGTAATTTATATTACATTACATATGGAATATATCAATTACTTTATATTTTAATTTATATATTTTGTTTATTCTAGAATTCCAATAGAACATTTATTTTGTGATTCGACTTATGAATTTTAATAATTTAGATTTGGCATTTTAAGGTTCTATTTCAACGCGGAAGGAAAAAGACGTGGATTCGCTCGAAAGACCTCTAGTCGAGCCTCGGGTTAGAGAAAGGATCTTACCAACCTAAGCTTTTAACCTAGCCTTAGCCTGCCCGATTCATTGGATTCTTAAAATACACCTTCATTCATTTAACTTTGTAATTCATGTAAGTTGCATTGAATATTAAGAAGAATTATTTTCATACATTGGTTTCTTATGCTTGACATCTAGCTAAAGATGTTATTCGAGCCGAGACAAGTCGGATATCTCATGTTCGAACTTGTGATTATTTAATAAACAACCTTGACTAGGTATTCGAGCTTAGCCTTTGAAGTGTATGAAATAGTTGAGTTTGAGCTTTCACGTGCCAAAATGAATTGTGTTCGTGAATAGTTTGATCCTAATAATAGCTCAATGTTAAGCAGCCTCGGGTAGAAAAAAATCATGGCTACGCCCCTGAGTATTGCACTCCATCACTAATTAACCAGCTTTAAACTAGGTCTGATAATTTGATAATTTAATCAATTTTGGTTCATTTTTATCCGCACTCTGAATAAAATCATGACGTACACTTTCAATTTTAGTGTGTGTTGTGGCACCCTCACAACCTAGTGAAAATAACAACTAGATTAAATTAAAAAATAAATCAAAAGTTGGATTATGCCAAAGTGAAATTAAGCTAAAAAAATAAAAAATAAAAAATAAAACCAAAGTGGGAAAAAACCCCCCACGGAGGCTTCAACCATTCGTTTTGCACAATAATCGGTGAACCCGTAGCACCCGCCCCTGCACTCCGGCTGATTCGGTGCCCTGAGGAGCGTCGAAAATGGTGGAGTATGGACCAAAAAATGGAGACCAAGAAGCCTCCAATATGAAGTCGCCGTATTGGGTGGAGGACTCCTTGCTCCGGACGGCTGTGTTACGGGAGAGACAACACAAAGTTTGAGAAAAAATCATCTCAATCGGATGATCCAACTCTCTATTAACCATCAGTATATATACACAAAATTAGGGCTACAGTTACCTAAAGAGAACCTAAGGCTAATATAGTAAATTCACAAATATACACAATAACACCCCCCCCTCAAGTTGGAGCATGTGGATTTCGAATGCCCAACTTGCCAAGAAAGAAATCAAATTCACGCTTCCCAAGCGCCTTGGTGAAGATGTCAGCGAGCTGTTTCCCAGAAAGAACATGAGTAGTAGAAATGAGACCCTTAAGAACAGCATCTCGAACAAAATGGCAATCCACTTCAATGTGTTTGGTCCGCTTGTGAAAAACTGGATTTGCCGCAATATGAAGTGCAGACTGACTGT